TTGCTATATTTCCACAAGAGCTGGAGGAAAGACGTCTGTTCAACCGGCCATGGTAACTCCGCCCCCCGTGTAACTCCGCCCCCCCGTGTTTCGCAGTTGTGACGGTTTGGATGTGGGCGAACAAATTGAAATTGAATCCAGACAAGACAGAGGTACTCCTGGTCAGTCGTAAGGCTGGACAGGGTATAGGGTTATATCCTGTGCTGAACGGGGTTACACTCCCTCTGAAGATGCAGGTTCTCAGCTTGGAAGTTCTCCTGGACTCATTGCTGAGGCTTGAACCCCAGGTTTCAGTGGTGGCCAGGAGAGCAATTGCACAACTAAAACTTGTGCGCCAGTTGTGCCCATACCTTGGGAAGCCAGACTTGGCCATGGTAGTCCACACTCTGGTTACATCCCGTATAGACTACTGCAGACTACTGCAGCACATTTTAAGTGGGGTTGCCTTTGAAGACTGTTCAGAAGCTTCAAACGGTCCAATGGGCGGCAGCCAGGTTGCTCACTGGAATGGACTACAGGGATCACACAACTCCCGTGTTATGCGAGCTCCACTGGCTGCCAGTCTGCTACCAAGCACAATTCAAAGTGCTGGCTTTAGTCTATAAAACCCAAAACGGTTCCGGCCCAGCTTACCTGTGCAAACATATCTCTCCCTATGAACTATCTAGGAGCTTAAAATTGTCTGGGGAGGCCCTGCTCTCAGTCCCGCCTTCTTCACAGGCGCAACTGGTGGGGACGAGAGACAGGGCCTTCTCAGCGGTGGCCCCTCGGCTGTGGAACTCCCTGTCTAGGGATATTAGATCAGCCCCCTCCCTCCTCACCTTCCATAAGAAAGTGAAAACGTGGCTTTTTGATCAAGCCTTTGGAAGTCTAGTCCAATAGATAAACACTGGACTATGTGCAGTTGAATATTGGAATGGCTCAGACTATGACTTTGGACAATGAGGCTAACAGTGAATGTATTCTTTTTTAATGTTTTAAAATATTTCAATGTCTGTATTTATAACTCTGTTTTTAAATGATGTTTTTTGTTGCATATTGTTGAAGGCATCAAATGGTTGCCTGGTTGTAAAGCCGCCTTGAGTCACCTCTGGGTTGAAGAAAAGCGGGATAGAAATGTCATAAATAAATAAATGAGGGGAACCAGGATTTAGGCAGTGAGTTCACTAAAGATAATGTTCATTTCTCTGAGAATCCTACATAGTTATAACACTGTGATTCCACTTTAACTACAGTGGCTACAATCTGTGGAGTCCTTGGATTTCCTCCTTAAAGAGAAATATTTAGTGCCTCTAACCAATTTACAAACCACAGACTGACACAGGACGCAACCAGGAGAGTTAATGTGGAATCATAGTGTTATAATTGCACAGTGTGAAGCAAATCTATCAATTAGGATGGCAGTACCAAGGACCAGTGAGAATCCATTAGTTCTAGGAGAAGGTTACTCACTTGGCACTGCTGCTGGGCCATTCATGCATCTCAACACATGGATCAATAGATGGTGTGAAAGTAGCATGACATGGGGTCAGTGGCAAGATGGTGAGGGTGGCATTAAGTGGTCCAATTTAGATAACAGAATATCTTTCACTGGTAATGGTCTGTATTGCCTGAGATTGCAGTTTTCAAGTTAGAATAATGTTTTTGGAGCACTAAATTTCCTGGACTGCAGCAATGTTTGTAGCACCTCAGTGGCTTGCCATGACTCCTTTCTTTTTAAAATGTTGGCAACCATTATATTATGCCCAATTTCTGACTTAGGGCAAATGCGTGCTTCTGAAATGGTTCTCTACATTTACTGATAATAAATCACCATTTGCAAGGCTTGCTGAACAGGCTGGTTTTCCTTTTTATGAAGTACATTTTCTGGAGAGTTCACTGTAAGCACTGCAATTTTTGCTAACAGATTTGTGTAAAAGTCTAGGTGGCATTCAGAAACCTTTGCCTGTTTCCAAATTTTTCGTGTTTCCCAACATTGAGCAAAGGGAACCCCATTTGGGGTCAGGATCCACCGTTTAAGAAGCAGTTGTCTAAAGTGGTACCTCAACATTTAAGGAGGCAGCTGAGAGATGGAGATTGTTCCAGGGCTTTCGAAGCCTCTTGGAAAGAGAAGAATAGGTTGGCTTTTAGTCCCCTTCTAAAGTGATAAAGCGGGGAAAACCCACACAAAGCTATAATAAAAATGGAAATTGTTTTCATTTTGCTCTCCAAAAGCACTTTGGGAATTAATAAAATGGCACTGATTAGTGGGACAAGCATCGTGAGTGTTTTGAATGCCATGAGAGAACATTATTTCTTTTTGTACCTTCCTGTCAAAATGTTAAATGGCAGACAGGAAAATTGCTTGACTGGGGAACGGAGTGACCTGGAATTGCGGCTCAAAAGTGAAGAAGTCTTGACTTCACTATGCCTACCTATTGACTTCTGTTCTGCCTCTTTTTTCCTTGTGCTGTTCTGTTTTTCCCCTCGATTTTTGCATTTCTGCCATGTGACTGTATCTAGTGAGAGGACATCCCTTGAAACAACTGCACTAACCTCCTAAATTTGCTTCAAACTGATTTAGAATCCATCTGGGACTCTGCACAGACTGTTATCCAAAGGGTTTCTGAGCTTAAATTAATGTTTTTTTAGAAATGACATTTTAATGCATTTAACATGTAGCTGAAGGTAGCAAAATGCCCAATATTGGTGTTGAGGGGAAGATGAGAGGAGGAGGAGGAGGCAGTTCTTACACAGGTATGAACTGAAGTTCAGTAAACGAAACAGTGCATCTTCTGAAAAAGGTTTTATTTATGTAATTCGAAGAGAGTGTCACAACTGAATGTTCCACCCTCAACATCTTTTTATTTGTTGCTTTGTTTCTGGCCTATATCTAGCTATGGGTCTTCATTGCACCTGAACCAGGGAACACTAGTTTACTAGCAGTTAACAAGGTAGGATAGTGTCTAGGATTGTATTGAGGAGAAGTGGAAGGAGATGAAGTGCAGCTGTTTTAGACTATAGCCATATTTTATAGTGCAGCGGTGGAACCATGGTCTAAATCAGGGGTTCTCAAACTAAGGTCCGAGGGCCGGATACGGCCCTCCAAGGTCATTTACCCGGCCCTCACTCAGTTTCAACCTAAGTCTGAAACGATTTGAAAGCTCACAACAACAACAACAATCCCATTTCATCAGTCAAAAGCAGGCCCACACTTCCCATTGAAATACTAATAAGTTTATATTTGTAAAAATTGTTCTTTGTTTTAATTATTGTATTGTTTTTAAGTGTTTTTTGCACGACAAATAAGATGTGCAGTGTGCATAGGAATTCATTCTTCTTTTTTTTTCAAATTATAATCCAGCCCTCCAACAGTTTGAGGGACTGTGACCTGGCCCTCTCTTTAAAAGGTTTGAGGACCCCTGGTCTAAATAGTTCAAAGTGTGTGTCATAAGGCATAAAGCAGTGGTTCTCAACTGGTGGGTTACTTATGTTTAAAAATGGCTTAATGACCGTTATAGGGCCTTCTTAGTAGCTGTTCCCCTTGCGCTTTGCTACTCTGCTGCTGAGTATGCATGCCCAGTGTGGAACACATCTCACCACACTAAAACAGTGGATGTGGCTCTTAATGAGACATGCCGCATTGTCACGGGGTGTCTGCGCCCTACACCACTGGAGAAGTTATACTGCTTAGCCTGTATTGCACCACCTGACATCCGCCGGGAAGTAGCAGCCAATAGTGAAAGGACCAAGGCAGAGACATCTCCAGCTCATCCCCTGTTTGGGTATTAGCCAGCACATCAACGACTTAAATCTAGAAATAGTTTTCTAGGATCTACAGAGACACTCGCTGGAACACCTCAGCAAGCGAGAGTCCAAAAGTGGCAGGCTCAAACCTAGAACCTCAACCAATGGCTGATACCAAATGAGAGATGTTGAAAAGCATGGGGGATAGAATAGAGCCTTGAGGGACCCCACAGGCCAGTGGGCAGGAGTCTGAGCAGGCATACCCCAGCACCACCATCTGGGTCCAACCCTCCAGGAATGAGCGGAGCCATTGCAAAGCAGTGCCCCCAAGGTTCATCCCACAGAGCCAGTCCAGAAGGATACCATGGTCGATGGCACTGAAAGCCACTGAGGGAACCAAGAGAACCAACAGGGACACACTCCCCCATCTAGCTCCTTGTGGAGGTCATCCACCAAGGCGACCAAACCTGTCTCCGTTCCATAGCCAGGCCTAAAACCAGACTGTGACAGGTCAAGATAATCAGTTTCATCCAAGAATCCCTCGAGTTGAGTGGCCACCACCCGCTCCAGAACCTTTCTCAAAAAGGGGAGATTGGAAATAGGCTGATAGTTGTTAAGGATCAAAGGGTCTATCTAGGGACGGCTTCTTTAAAATTGGTTTTACTACTGCCTTTTTCAGACAAGATGGTATTATACCCTAATCCAACAAAGCATTGACAATATTTGTGATCCAATCAACCAATCCCCCTCTGGTTTGTTTAATAAGCTAGGGTGGGCAAGGATCTAGAGTACAAGTGGTAGCTCTCATGGCTCCAAGGATCTTGTCCACATCATCAGGATGAACAAACTGAAACGAGTCCTTATTCTACCATGTTAAGTTCTCCAAGACCTGCTTTGTAGCAAAGCAAAGATGTTCCAATGGTCCTCCATGCTTGCAAACAATGAGGGCCAGTTGGAAAAGGGACAAAGGGCAAAATAAGTTCCCCCTTCTTTCTCCCCGACGACTTTGCCTTGAGATTTGCTGCTGTTAGTTTTGTGCAACACTCTGCAAAAAAAAACAAAACAGAAAAACAAAACAAAACAAAAAAACACTTGATATAGATCCCCCTCCCAAACATGCCATTGGGTTGACTCGCTTAGGCTTTCAGCGACTGGGCAATGATAGCAATAAATCCATGGGCGAGGACTCCCTTTTGTGAGGGAGAAGCTGAGAGTCTCTTTAATCTTTTGGCATTCAGTTGTTCACCTGTACCCTTAATGCACGCACAGCTAGTAAATTGGAGCTAGAGCCCAGTTCTGTTTTGTGGGCCGTCGGTTAAATGGAGCCACTCATAGCGCGGCCGTAAAGTGGAATGCTCGAGATGCTTTTTTATTAGAAGTTCCTTGCAGCTGCGCCTCGCTCGGCAAGGCTTTTTACTCAGCTTGGCCATGCCAGTTTGCGGTGCATTAACGGCGTGTCTCAGGTTACCGGGCCCCTCCTTGGAAAAGGCACGTTTAGAGGCTGGCAGGGTTCGAATTAACCTGATTAAAATCACAGTGGATTAAAAACATCTCATTAATGTTGAAAGAACATTTTGGAAGCCTTTTGTTTAGAGGTAATTGCTTTCTAAAGCAGCCGTACCCCACCTCATACTATCCCGATGTTTTGGATTACAACTCCCATCGTCCCAACCAGTATGGGGGTATTGACTGAAGCTGATAGGAGACGTAGGGCAGTTGAGATTGTGCTTCCTAAATTTAAATCAGGCAATGGTTATTTGAATTCTCATTACATTGGCAATTTGTGGCTTTCTCTTTCCTTCATTCCACTTGTAGGTTTGCAAAATTAGCAGACTTTCTGGCCTTTAAATCTCTCTTTGGTGTTTGTGCAAACAAGCTCCAGCTAAAAACTGCTTGGAGGAATGTATTTGGATGCCCTGAGTATTAATCTGGACCACAGTTACCTCCTCAGTGTTTTCTTAGAAAAAAAATCCAAAATAACAACCATGGACACACACACACACACAAATGAATTGAATATGTTGAACAGCATTGACAGTTCCCAGCTGAAACACATTTTAATTCCTTTTTAGTTTTCTTGGAACAATCCTATTGATTCCTCTTACTTTTGACTCCAATGATTTAAATCCATCTCTGATTTAGAAAATCAATTTTTCTCTACACATGCCACAGAACCTGCTTTAAGTGGAAGATTTCCGAATGCTTTTGAATATAAAAATCTCCTGGTGTGTAGATACTATAGAATTGCCTAATAGCCAATTGGGATTTCCAGGGAAGTCACTTGGTTAAGCCATATAGGTGCTGGCTCCCTGAAATATTATTTAAAAATATTTTTGAAGTGTCTGGGATGTGTAAGCTGATACACATTTGGGACCGGTATCCCAGCTACAGCCAGAATAAGAAGTGCATGTCTTCTTATCATTGAGTCTCAAGGAAAGACTCAATGATGCTGACAGAAACAATTTGCTTATGAAAATAAGTCAATGGTTCCCAATCTTTTTTTGACCAGGGATCACTTTGACCAGGGACCACTTTGACCAGGAACCACTTTGACCAGGGACCACTCCAAGATTAGTACCAAAAGGTTTTTGGTTAACTTTAGATTCAGTTTGGGGGGCTGATTCAGAAAATTGCATTGGATAGACCACAGCAACTCTCGTTTCTGATACAGAACATATGCCATGGCCAGCGACAGGGAAGGAGTGGCAGGCGATGTGAAAGGAGCGGAAATAAAACAAATAATATAATAAAAATTGCCCACTGGTGGTCCATGACTCACAGGTTAAGAACCACTGAAATAAGTAAACTTGCAGAAATGGATAAACATGCTATGTTGATTAAGGAGAGACCTCTAACCTTAAGAAGGACTGGGGACCATTCATTGTATTCCTCCAGCAAAGATGAGGTCAAACCCCCATCACTGCTTTTTTGGATTAGAGGAGTGTTATTATGTGGGGAAAGGCTGTATCACTAGTTCTTTTTCACTTAATCAATGTAGAAAATTGAGATAATATAACCATCAGACAGATAATGTAAAGCTCTGAGATTAGATAGTGTATATTGTATGTACTGGTAGTTAATGTTCTTTGATGTTTAGAATATAGTAGTAATACATTTTTTAATTCTAGAAAAAGTGTTTTAACCATTTTGTTTGTTTGTACATAGGTTTTGTATTAATTTGTCTAAATGAAAATTAATTACTAAAAAAAGAGGTGTATGTCTTTCAATGATGGAAAAATTGACTGCTTTCTGGTTCTCAATAAACTTTATAGTATAACTGCAATTTCTAGTACTATCCTTGCTTTGCAGTTTCTGAAATCTTTCCATCCTGTCGTTCCTGTAAGAGGTAGTATGTCCCCACACAATCTTTACTCATGTCATTTTAGGTGAGCAAGGCCTGGAAAGTGCTTGCAGAAGACAAAGTCCTTTGGTTCTGGCTATGTCAACAGGAAGGTTACCTGCCTGACCGTCAGATTTCTGATTTTCCCTGCTGGAAAGGAACACTTAGAAAATGCCGGGAGAAGGAGCAGGTTTTACGAACGAACTGGAAGGTAATGATGGGGGATTCTCTCTCTAGTACCTCTTGATCAGTGATGAAGTGCTACACTAGAATGGACCATTATGTTACTGTTGAAGTGCTGATTCCTTGAATTGGCAGAATGGAGTATTAGCATAAGTTTGGGTGGACTTCTTAACTGATTGAAGATTGGAAAGAATTTTGGACATTACTGTGTGGTGTTAAGCTCCTCAAGCTTCGTCTTAGAAACACCAATAGAACATTCATGTTGGAAAGACGCCCAGGCTATGGTGAGGTTTAGATGTGACAATGTTAATGTACCCACATTGTCTTGTGGTTATAAGTACCCTCATACTGTGTTGTATAGGTTGCAACCCCAGTTCAAAGATCTGAAAGTGTCCAGAGGTTGTTGGGCTGGAGTTCTCATCAGCCTCAGTGAGGTCTAGAAGTTGTGGTAGCTCTTCCTAACAGGTGTTGGGAGGCTTGTTGTTTACTTGAGGGTTTCATGGGAGCATCTTGCAGGACATGGTTGGAACCAGGATGGTAAATTAGAAAGCCTGATGAACCTGCTTTTGGGAAGGAGAAGACAACACAGTTCAATCAAGCTCATAATTCAGTATCGTGGAATGGCAGAGAATGGTATATTGAGATTTTCACTGTTTTCCTGGGTGCCAGACTCAACAGATAGCAGTCACAAGCAAGAAGTAAACTACACTTTATTAGAATTGGCAGGTCCAGTTCAGGAACAGATGTTCGTTATATCTATAGTTCAACTGTGGCAAAATGCAGCCCAGGGGCTTTTGCACAATCCTCTTTGGGCTCATTGTGACCCCCTGTGTGTCATTGATTTTCAATTTGTGTTAATAATAATACCTACCTCTCCTTAAGGCCTAAATGAGCCAGTCCTTCCCTCTAAGGAGACAGCTAGACATTTTATTCTATTTTTGCACCCCTGCCATTTCAGCTCAGTCCAGAATGATAGAAAATATCTGGTATGTGGGGCAGTTTTGGGTGGTGGTGTGTTCCTCTAAGGTTCTAGGACAGTGGTTCTCAACCTGGGGTCCCCAGATGTTTTTGGCCTTCAACTCCCAGAAATCCTACCAGCTGGTAAACTGGCTGGGATTTCTGGGTGTTGTAGGCCAGAAACACCTGGGGACCCCAGGTTGAGAACCACTGATCTAGGAGGTTCATGTAGCCCCAGACCTCTGAAAATTGCACTTGCTTCACTGTGGATCAGCACCCCCTCACTCAATTCTTCCCAGTTGTTTTGGACTATGCTTCCTTTTAATTCCAGCCAGAATGGTCATTCCTCAGGTATGATGGGAATTGTGCTCTGAAATACCTTGAGGTTGTGACCTGGTCTACATCAACCCAAAGCCTTCCTGCTGGTCTAATTAAATGGCCATTACAACTCTACAGCTTGCAGCAGTTGCCAATGTTTCTGCTTTGATGCCCAAATTTCTGTTTTAGATGAAAACAGGCATTTGTTTTTATCGCATCATAGCCAAAAAATAAAGGTCAGGGGCATAATTTGCTCTTTCCTTGGTCTCTCTGGTGTGACAGACAAGAGAACATGCTGGACCTTAAACGACTAATGATGAAGGTGGTTCCTGCTGGACTTTTAAAAGCTTGAATCAGGGACTGTTATACATGTAGCCCAGCAGTCTCCTTTCTTTTGCTGCTAAGTGTTTGCTTGGCAAGGTGTGCCTGTGTTTGTGTTGTATTTGCCTTATGCAGTGTAATAACTGAATTGATTTTGATACTAATGATGTTTAATACTGTTTTAATATTTGTATATTTGTATATTTTAAATTGTATTATAATGCTTTTAATGTTAGCCACTTTGACTCTCCTTATGAAGAGAAAAAGCAAAATATAATAATAATAATAATAATAACAACAACAACAACAACAATCTCCTTGGGAAATCAGACAGGCTCCAACCTTGTCCTTTCGGAGTCAACTAAAAACCTGGATGTTCCGCTGTGCTTTCGATTAAGCAGCTCACCAGTAATTTTCCTGTCCCCATTAAGTTCTTGCACTTTATTTTGACCCTCAAACGGCCTACCTCAACATATTTTATGACAGCACTTCCCGCCCAATCTATTAGTTTGTTGCATTTCTCTTGCGCTCCTATAAAGTGTATTGCACTAATTGAATTGTACCTCAGCTATGTTCCTTTTCTCAGCCATACTGCTCTTATGTGGTTTATTATTGTGTCGTATTGTTTTTATCTGATGTTTTAATTGTAATGTTTGATTGCTGTGTTTTAATTGTAATTGTTGGGTTTGTCCCTTGAAAGCCGCCCTGAGTCCCCTAGGGGAGATGATTGGTGGGGTATAAAAATAAAGTTATCATTATTATTATTATTATTATTATTATTATTATTATTATTATTATAACAAAAGCAGCAGCAGCTACAGTATGTAACATGATTTTTGTTTCTGGGTTATAAATGTCATTTCCTAATTGGTTCTATCATAAAATGATGGAAAAAGCTTATTAAACTGTGAAAACTTGGTCTTGGCAGGACATCCTACAGCACATTTTGCTCTAGTTTTTCAGTGAATATCTCATTGGGTCTCAACCAATTCAACATAGTTTGTGGCAGCCACAAAAATGAAATTTCTGGAGTACCCACTACTTTCAAAATAAGGACCGCACAATTAAACAGGAAAAATACTTTCAAACCAGAAACAGTTTTTTTAAAAAAAAAAGTTAGGTAAAGGTAAAGGTTTTCCCCTGACATGAAGTCCAGTCATGTCCGACTCTGGGGTGTGGTGCTCACCTCTATTTCTAAACTGAAGAGCCAGCGTTGTCTGTAGACACTAGGGCTGTCCAACCACGGAAAAATTTGTTTCTAAATTCGATTCATTTTTAGGGGGTTTTTGCGTTTCATTTTTTAAAAGAATTCCAAAATTTTTCTTTTAAAAAGTTCGATATTTACGAAATTTCGGAAATTACGAAACAATTTCGAAACAATAACGAATCGATTCGTTAATGGCGGACGCGATTGCGCAATACGCTAAAAAACCCTCCAAATGGGACAGGGGGAACTTCTGAAGCTTCCCTCTCCCTCTGTTGTTGACTGTTGGTGTGATAATTTATTTTTTTATCACTGATAAAACAAACAACGACTATAAAACTTGCACCAGACATACGGAAATAATAACGAAATAATAACGAAACAATTATGAAACAATTTCGAAACAATTATGAAACAATTACGAAACGAATTGGAAAAATTCATTTCGTTTTTTAGTTGCTCCTGAATGGTTCAATATAGCTTCGTTATAAAAAAAAAAATAATGAATTAATAACGAATTACGAAATTAACGAACGAAACCGCCCAGCCCTAGTAGACACCTCCATGGTCATGTGACCGGCATGACTGCATGGAGCGCTGTTACCTTACTGCTGGAGTGGTACCTATTGATCTACTCACATTTGCATGTTTTCGAACTGCTAGGTTGTTACATAGTATAATATTTTACATATTACATAGTATTATAATAATAATTTTATTTCTTACTCACCTCTCCTAGTGCCTTGAGGTGGGATACAACATAGCTAAAATACATAATCATTGCATAAAATACATATATTAAAATTTATTTCTACAAAATACAGATATTAAAATACACAGTACAGAGATTAAAATATAGTGAACACAGGACGCAAGTTTAAAATTCATGATTAAAACTGACTGCGTCGTGCGTAAAAAAGTCACTAGCTCCCTCAACCTGTAGTGGAGATGTGAGCCACTGTGGACTCTGGGTTTGAGTTTCCCAGATGGTGCTCTCCTCTTCCCCATGATATGGGGTTGCCACGTGGCACTAAATTAAAGTGTCATTTTCCAGGTAACTCTTCCTAGCTCACATTTTGGCTGCACATTGAGTTGGTGGTTGAAACCAGGCAGCCTGGGCTATTCACACCATTTTCTGTGGTGCAGAAGAATAATCCACACACTTTCTTATTCTTATTACTGCCCAGAGAGAGGCAGAAACAAGCATATGCTTCTTTACATTTCTTATTTTGCCTTCTGGAACTCAGTAACTTTTGAAGTTCTTTCTTTACTTTGTCTTCCATCAGTAGAAGCAAAATTGAAATCTCTTTCCTTGAGTTCTGTTCTCTTTCATCTGTTTTTAACAGTGCTTTTTCTTTAAAAAAAATATTTGCTGTCTTTCTTGCCTTCTGCTTGTTTTTTATTTATTTAATATTTATTTATAGACACAAACCTATAATCAAAAGACCAAACAAAGACATATACAGAAAGAGATTTTTTGAGGTTCATCCTATTTTTTATTTGAGAAAAAAGTTATATAGACATATACTATACATTTTCCCCTCTTTTATTTTCTTTCACCCCTGTGCTCCCCTTCACCAGAACCATCTCTTCTTCTAAAGTCCCACCAAAAATTTAGTTCTTCATTTGGAGGTAAATTCCCATCTTTTTCCAATACTTTTTCTAAAAATCTTCTTCAAATACTTTCGAAGTTATTTCCCCCCATAATCCCTTCTTTACTTTTAAGTTTGATGTTAGCTTATTCAATGCCATTTTCCAGACTTCTTTATACCATTCATTGATTTGTATTTTCATTTCTCCTTTCCAGTAATTTGCAAGCTGCTGTTAATAGCATGTCTATTACATTTTCCCCCTCATGTCTTCCCCATCCTTTCTTTTAATTAAAAACAATATTTCTACTGGATTCCTTCTAATTTTTATATCCATAATATTTTCAATTTCCCTTATAACCAATTACCAAAAATCTTTTACATATTTGCAATCCCACCGCATATGCAAGTAGGGTCCAGTTTCCTGGCACCCTCGCCAACATTTTTCATTATTGTTCTTATTCATAATGTTTAACCTTCTCGGTGTTAAATACGACTTCCACATTAATTTATAATAATTTTCTTTTATTCGAATTGACATGTTTTTTAATTGTCTTGCTTTCCATATCTCTTCCCATTCTTTTTCAGTTATCCTTGTTCCTACTTCTCCTCCCATAAGTCTCTTAATCTTTTTTTCCT